CGCCGAACTGCCGAACTAGCAGTCAGCTGAAGTGGCCTGCAGTACTGCACTCTACCCACTGTGCCACCTCGGCTGGTGGTGACCAGTGGTGACTACCTTCACCACTGGTTCACTGCTTCATGGAAGCTGCCAGGCTGTCCCTTGAATGGCCGCTACGCATTCATTGCTTTTATAGTTTCAATTTGTCGCTGTTAAAACGTCGGTTCCGTTGCTTCTTTATGCTTGATTTGCCTTGGGTAATCTGTTGGAAGGGCAGGCTATAATGCTCGGTGAATACAATAGCCAATAAAGAAAGCCAAGGATGACGCTTGGGCGGTGGAAACTAAGCAGATGAGATTGCTAATGCTGTCGATGGCTTGAATTAAAAGCATCTTCAGGGATGTCCAGATGTTGAATATGAGCAGCAAGGATGGAGCGGGGCTACTGGTAAATTATCTTACTAACACTGCTTTATACAAACTCCCTGACAAGTTCTTCAGGGCCCTAGTTTAACCCTGGGATTTTTTCCCATCCAAATCCTAAGCAGATCTTCTTAGCTTGTTTGAAAACAGCCAGGATTAGTTAGAGGCCACCATCTGGAATGGCTACCCTGCCAACTAGACACTAGATGATAATAAATGTACCCTTTAACTTGTCTCCGGAATGAAACCATGCTGATATGCTTGGAAGGTGTGGTTTCTCTCAAAACCACTCTTCAGCGGTTCCCTTCTCGCACGTGTTCCAAGACATCCATCCATCCATTGATCCGTCCACCCACCCACCCACCCATCGATCCATCCATCCTCGTTTGTATTCTGTGCATGTTAATTGCTGTCGCTAGCTCTTGGTGACCAATTAACCCTACAGCAGCAGTCTACAGAAATCTGCGGGAACGTACCTCATTAATAAAGTCCCCGATGTCTCCAGGGTGGGGGATGACAGGCCGTACAGGATATTGTGGCTCAGCACCGACAGGCCTCTCATCGACTCTTCTGACTCCATTCGCCTTGTTTAAAACATGATCCATATTCTCTGGCTGCTGAAGCTGGCTTAAATCATAATCCTATCACGCATAGAGAAGGAAAAGAGTGAAGCTGCGGCAGATTTTTCACTGAAGATTATCCAGTATCTTTGTGGCATGGGGGGGGAAGCTGAGTAACACGATTAAGTTTAAGGGAAATCAAAACAGAGCCTTTAACTCTATGGCATTTATATTGCTACTTAATTAAACATATATCATATGCGATTGATCTTTGGCTGGTCGGTGCGGAAGAGATTTTAGAAGGCAGAAAGATGCACACATGCACTCTTGTCTAATTCAGTTCACATTCTGGATGCATTTCAATGTGGGTTTGCAGCATTACTGATGCTCTATTCAATAACCATCTTATGGCCTCTGCCACTGAATGATCTTTCCACAATCTAATTTGTAATTGATTTGGGAGAGAGAGAGAGAGAGAGAAAGATACCGATTTAAGCAAAGCAAATCCAAACTTCAAACAAATTATGGATTGGCACGTCAGGTAGTGGTAGAACACAACAGAAGCACAGAAGCCAAGATGTCATCAATAGCAATAGCAGTTAGACTTATATACCACTTCATAGGCCTTTCAGCCCTCTCTAAGCGGTTTACAGAGTCAGCATATCGCCCCCAACAACAATCCGGGTCCTCATTTCACCCACCTCGGAAGGATGGATGGCTGAGCCGGTGAGGTTTCAACTGTTTTTTTTTTTTAAAATTACGCTTCCCAGATAATTTACCTCTTGTGGAAAATGGTTTCACCCATAGATTTAACTCTCATCTGAGCTCTCTGGTGGGCATCTTAGCAATGCTACTTGAGTGGAATATCCAGTTTCAATATAAATGCTGTTTTGTTGAGGAGCATAATGTTTGTTTATTTTACTTTGCTTGTGTCTCTTCTGGCTTTAATTGCTTTTGATTCTTACAGGGCTTTAAGGAAAATTTAGAATTGCAAATTTAAAAAGTAGGACTTGCAGTCTTAATACAAATAATCCATTTCAATAAGGACAGGATGAGGAAGTGGGGAGGGGAGAGAGATCTGCTTTGAGATCAGCAGTTCTTCAACTGGGGGAGATTTGGGCATAACTAGGGGGGTAATGGAACAATCTGTAATTGCTTGTTTGTGTTAAATGGAGCAGTTTGTAATTGCTTGTTTGTGAGAGAAGGATCCAGTTTTCTCACCTTCAAGAATGAGGAAAGTAGGTTGTTATTTTCTATTCAGCAACAAAAATGAAAGATATTTAATATAGTATGTCTTGTAGATCTTTCAGTAGAAAAGGCTCAGTTAGCTAGGAATTATAGTCTAATATATAATAAGCTCAGGAAGGTTGTGGTTAACTTTTGCCAGTCAACAATGAGGTTAAACATTTCCAATGTACTACTCTCCACCTCGTACAACTTACTTCTATGAGTATGTTGTTTACTATATTTATGTTCTCGTTAGGTTAATTTTCCACCAAAACCTAAATTTAAGTTCAACGAGGAATCCTGGGCAATTATGAATTAGCTATTGACATCTCATTTAAAATTTTTCCTTGCTTCAGTTAAATGATAACACAATCATGCTGTGAAATAAATTAACAACGATACAATGAAAAACTGATATATTTATGAATTGAATACTTTAGAATTTTTTGCTTTAAAAAGGATAAGGATAAAAATGATTTTATGTATACTTGATAGAGGATTGGTGATATAATGTATAACGTTAAGAACATATTGCAATGATATCTTGTTGTTGATAAATAATTTTAATAAGGGAATAATGGAAANATTTTATTTTACTTTATTTTATATATATTTGTTTTTTAGGGAAATACCTCCCCCATATGATGTAACTAATATATATATATACTCCCCCCCACAACATCCCTGTGCTCTTAATAAACTGTTCTGGGATTATCAATTAGGCTGGCTACAAAAAAGAAAAACAAGAGATTAAGGAAATTTAGATTGATACATACACATTTAGAAATGATGCCTACAACTGAAACAGAATTACAAAATATCTGATCAAACTGACATATCCAGGCCTTGTTAACTGGCTTTCTGCTCTGTTTGTGGTCTGGTTGCTAATTCCTGGCTGATACCTAACTTGCAACATCAATTTTATCTCCCTTTTTATGGCTCTTTTTCTTTCAACTAGATTGGACAGTCTTTCAAAAAAAAAAAAAAAAAGCCCCAAGCCTGTAAATTAGTTTAAGTTGCAATTAAGAATAATTCTGTGAGCTACAGGTAGTTTTATGATACTTCTTGATGATCATTGCAGGACTACATTTTTATATGGTGTTGCCATATAGTATTGGGCAGCATATAAAACAAACAAGCAAACAAATATTAAAGAATAAATTTTATTTTTTAATTTGTTTTTCTATTTCCTTTCTTATTTATTCTTATTTTCGTTGTTTCTTTCCTAATATTTTACTGTTTCTACCTTATTAAAGTAGGCCTCTGTCTCTGTTTTTATTGCTTTTAGTTACGGGTTGTCCTCACTGACTGATACTTACTGAGCAAGCACTCAAATTTAAAACGGGCTGATCGAGAAGGACTTACAACAGGCCCTTGTAGTTGTGGCCACAGGATTGAATTCAGGCATTTGGCAATTGGCTTGCAATTATGCATAATTATGCAATTATGGTTGCAATTTCCTGTGGTCACATGAGCACATCTGTGATTTCACTGCCCGCTTCCAATAAGCAAAGCCAATGGGTAAAGTGGCAGGAGGTTGCAAATGGTGAGCATGTGACTTTGGGGCGCTGTGGCCATGCAAGGTTCACCTAATGACAGCAACTTGGGACTCCTGCAATTGCCATCATAAGTCATCATAGTCACCGTGACATCACACCTTACAAGTGCATGACTTAATGAGGGTGCTGCTGTTCCCAATTATACTTACCATGATGACTATCTCTAACTAAATACAAAAGAAGAACAAAAAGAATACCCAACATTATAAAAGAAAGGGGGGGAAACCCTCACAAAATCGAAAAGCAGACACATAGAAAAATCGATGAACTGAAGCCATGATTCATTATGATGATCCATGGTTAATCTATATTAAATCGATTCTGCAAACCACTAAACAGCTGGAGCCATATGTTTGAGTTTCCAATGCTAAATAATAAGTCTTTTGCTTGCTTATGTTCTCAAACCTACTACTTCTTGTTGATTTCTGACAGCTTAACTATACCTTGAGGAGGTACAGTGCAGGCACTGAAAACAGGAACTGTCATCAGGTATGGCTTGGCTTCTAGCCAAGAGTGTGAGTTCTAGCTTTTTTTTCAATAGAGCTGCTATAATGTATAGATTGGCTTTAAGGCTTGTTCTGTTTCCTTCTGCATGTAAACCATTTCAACAAGAACCAAACACCCCGGCCAAAAAAACCAAAACCCTGAAGCAAAGGAGGTGAAGCAAGAGTACTGAACTGTGCACTTCCAAGAGTGAGTTATATAAGTTATAAGTATGTTCATTTCATGTGGTCAGAGAATGGAAATGGGCAGATTAAGCAAGCAGCTATTGCACAAGTGTAGAGAAAATGGCCTTGCCTTTTATTGTCAGGTTAGGCCAAGTTGGTGTGGTACAGGGCAAGGATCCAGATTCAGGTAGAAAAAATGCTGACTGAAACAAAAAAGTAGTACTTATGCAAGGGGGAAGTCATTAAGGGGTGTCTATGGATATTCTCAATCATCCAGGTCATGGCTGTCCCAAAGGTGGTTTTTCCACTGAAGTTAGAACTGAAGAAGCTTCTTGGATGAGAAGGGAAATTTTTTTAAAGGAAAAAACAACAACAAGAAGGCCCAGTTGCCTTTTGGAAAAAGCACCTTTGGGGGACCATCAAGGGGTGGAAGATAGATTGTTCTTAAGTCCACCATGAAGCAAACCATTACTGCCAATTAGAGTATGAGGCATCTAGGCCAACTGCTGGACTGGGATGGGCCTTCAAGTGACCTCCCCAAGTGCCTTTAAAGGAGACTTTCAATGGGAAGCAGGAAGTCTAATGTAGATATGAATTTCAGTTGCAGCTAGCTGAAGTATAAGAACATCAGTCAACTGGAATGTGAATAAAATTAATTCCCACCCGTTAGGCTGTCATGCTCCATGCCAACAAGATGATGTAAGAAATGAGAGGAGTTAAAAGGGGGGGGCATACATCAATAGTGCAGGCTCCCCTCACTTATATGTCCCAGGAATGTAACAAAAGAAGGACTTATACTTCAATTATATGGTCCACATGCATCACCACAAGAGGAGCTAGTTGGCACAGTTTAAACCAAAAGGGGGAGCATACAGATTACTGCCCAGTCACACAAAACAAATTCATGCTCAGCTAATAAAATAACAATTGCCCAGCAAATAAAGGAACAACCACCTTCTCTCATGTTAATGATGATGATGACGATGAAAAATTCTATCCTTCTCAAGAAAAATACAGTTGCAGTTCCTTGCTTGACAAACCTTAATGTTGCTATTTAAGAACTTGAGAAAGAAAATAAATACGGATGTGCTATTTTTAGCAATGCACTTACTTATCAGTATAATCCTTCCCAAATATAACAACATATTTCCCTTTATGACTACATCCGAAAAGAGTATTTGCAGCTCCAGCTCCAAGGGCAAAAAAATTAAAATCTATTCAGTCCTAAGAGAGACAGAACATTTTTTTAAAAAAATGAAAATTAAGATATAGACTCTTTCTCTGAGATCAATATATAGGACAGTGATGGCCAACCTATTTTTCCTTGCATGCCATAATCACGTGCATGTGTGCTGACATCCATAATATAATCTGCCACGCCCCCTGCACATGCACACAGGACCTCCCTCCCCCACGTTCACCCACCCCATGCTCACCTCGCACATGTGTGCAATCCCCTGCACCCTGTTTTTGGCCCAGCAGGCCCCCTTGAAGCCTCCTGGGACCAAAAGATGGGCCACAGGAGTGGCACCGCAACCTCCCCATGCCCTGTTTTGGGCTTAGCAGGCCTCTCTGAAACCTTCTGGGAGCTTAAACAGACTATGGAGGAGAACGCTGCACCCCCCCA